TGAACCCAGAAAATTCGTGCGTCGCTGCCGTGAGAGAGAGAGAGAGAGACGCGAGGAGAGAGAGAGAGTGAGGCGTCCCGATCTGAAGCCAGGCAGTGAGGTGAGTGAGCAACGACACCCGCCCCCTCCAGTCCTCACCGGCGCCCTCAGATCGGCGCATCCCTTGAAGACGACGCCGAACGGAGCTGCGCGTGAAGCCCACGCGCCGTCACAAGCTCCGCGCGTGAAGCCCACGCGCCGCCACTGCCTCTGCGCGTGAATTGCACGCGCCGCCGCCGGAAAAACCAACAGTGCCTCCCAGAGATCCAGAAAATCATCAGAATTCCCACCCTTTTTGGGTCCGTTCGTAATATTCCAATGGCCCTTATGTCCGGTACATCCTCAAATACTCAAAGCACTCCTTCTTCACCTTTAGTCACCTCTCAAGCCTCTGATCCAGAACCATCCCTAACCTCTGAACATCAAGCTATGGTGGTGGCTCACAAACTTAATGGTAGCAACTATCTCCAATGGTCTCAAAGTGTATTAATGTATCTACGTGGGAAGCGTAAGGAGAAATATATCAATGGAGAGGCAAAACAACCTTCACATAATGATCCCAAATTTGACACCTGGTTTGCTGAAAATAATCAGGTGATGTCTTGGCTGTGCAACTCAATGACTCTTGAAATCAGTGAAGGATACCTCTTGGCAAGCACAGCTAAGGAAATCTGGGACGCTGCTAAGAGGACTTACTCCACACTAGACAACACTGCAGCCCTATTGGATCTAAGGAGGCAGCTCAAAGATCTGAAGCAAGGAAACTTAACTGTAACACAATATTACAGCACTTTAACGAAGATATGGCAGCAGTTGGATCTCTTTGAAGTTCATCCTTGGAAGGACATGGATGATGCTAATTACTACAGACAACTGGTGGAAAAGGACGAACCTATGACTTCCTATTGGGTTTGAATGATGTCTTTGAAGAAGTAAGAGGCAGAATTATGGGTCTAAAACCGCTTCCCTCCCTATTTGAAGTCTTCAGTATGGTCAAGTTTGAAGAAAGCCGGAGACACCTCACTCAGGGTAACCAAACCCCAGTAGATGGCTCAGCATTAGTCATGAGGAGGTCCCCAACATTCGAGGGATCTGAGAAGAAGGGAACAAGTGGTGCAATCACTGTAACAAGAAAGGCCACACCAGAGACGAATGTTGGAAACTACATGGGAAACCAACCCAAGGGAAGCAGAAACAACGGGAAGATAGAAAAAGCCACCACACCTCCTCTGAAGAAAAAGGTGATGAGGGAGACCAGTTGACCAGAGAAGAGCTTCAAATGCTTCGTAAGATACTTGAAAAACAAAACAAATCAAAATCAGTTCCCAACGTGAACTTGATTCAGTCAGGTAATTCTATTATAGCCCTTAATGCAATGGTAACTAGTGATGAACCTGGATTGTTGACTCCGGTGCTACAGACCACATGACTGGTAATAAGTCCCTCTTCAAAACCCTCAAATATTGCCATGAGAACCTTAGGGTAAAAGTAGCAACTGGACTATATACTAAAGTTGAGGGTGTTGGCATTGTGGCCCTATCTGATGATCTGGAAATCCATAATGTTTTGTTTGTTCCTGCTCTTACCTGCAACCTTATATCTGTGAGCAAATTGACTAAAGGACAAGTATGTCGGGTAATCTTTGATGATGTTAAGTGTGTTTTTCAGGATTCGACCTCGGGGAGGAAGATTTTGACTGCTAAAGAATGGGATGGACTCTACTACTTTGAAGGAAAAGATATGAAGACTGCAGGAGCCAAGAAAGCTATGGTTAGCTCTAATTCTCAGAATAAAAATGTAATGTTGTGGCATCAAAGATTAGGCCACCCCAGCTTTGATTATATGAAGCATGTGTTTCCAACTTTATTCAATAAAAATTCTTTTCCTTTCCAATGTGAAACGTGTCAAATTGCCAAACAAACTCGCGCCTCTTATCCCAAACATACTTACAAACCTACTGCCCCGTTTACATTGATTCATACTGACATTTGGGGACCAGCCAAAATCAACACCCGAACAGGCACAAAGTGGTTTATTACATTCATCGATGATCACACCCGGGTCACATGGGTTTACCTTATGAAAGAAAAATCCGAAGCTTTACAAATTTTCAAAAACTTTCACTCTTTTGTGAGAACCCAATTCCAAACTCCCATCAAAGTTCTGAGAAGTGACAATGCCAAAGAGTATGTGAGTGGAGCCTTTAGGGAATTTCTTGAGCAGGAAGGAATCCATCACCAAACCTCATGTGTCTATACTCCTCAACAAAATGGAGTTGCTGAGCGGAAAAATAGGCATCTTCTAGAAGTAACCCGAGCTATTATGATGGAAAGAAATGTTCCAAGTCTGTTTTGGGGAGATGCTGTGCTAACCGCTGCTTATCTCATCAATCGAATGACCTCCACCTCACCTATCATCAATACCATCCCTCAAAAGGTCTTTGGGTGTGTCGTCTTTGTTCATAAACATGATGGGGGCAAACTTGATGCTAGAGCAGAAAAATGTATTTTCCTAGGGTATTCCTCCCCCAAAAGGGATATAAGTGTTATTGTCCTACTACCAGAAAACTCATAATCTCCAAAGACACAGTTTTTTATGAGGATGATGCTTATTATCCCAAATTACCCATTCAGGGGGAGCACTATGGAGTAGAATGGCTAATTACACCTGAACCTACGACCAATCCCAACACACATCTTACCACCCCTCTTGAACCTGCCATACCACAAGAAGAAATCACTGTCCCTGAACCGGAACCAAAAACCCCTAGTCCTACACCTCCACTAGAGCACCAAAACCCCACAAACACTCCTCACCCGACTCACCCAATGGAAACGAATGCTGAAATTGATGCAGGGGTGACAGAGCGTTCAAGTCCTCAATCAGGTGAGCAGGATAGTAGTAGTAGGGTTCCTTCCATTCCAAGGCAGCAACATGATTCCAATCCAGAGTTGGATCCTGAAGAGCTAGGATGGCCCATTGCACTTAGAAAGGGGGTAAGATCATGTACTCAGCATCCTATTCAAAAATTTGTCTCCTATGGCAATTTATCTGCTAGAATGCAAACCTTTGTGGTGAATAGCTCACAGGTGAAGATTCCAGAAACATTTCAACAGGCTATGAAAGATCTTAATTGGAAACGTGCCGCATATGAGGAGTTGAGAGCCTTAAAGGAAAATAACACGTGGGATATTACCACACTTCCTAAGGGCAAGAAAGCAGTGGGTTGCAGGTGGATCTTCACCCCTAAATTCAATCCTGATGGAAGTATCAACAAGTACAAAGGAAGATTAGTTGCAAAAGGGTACACCCAGACTTATGGGATTGATTATCAGGAAACGTTTGCTCCTGTGGCAAAGTTCAACACCATCCAGGTACTCCTGTCTCTAGCTGCTAACCTTGATTGGTCTCTACATCAACTAAATGTGAAGAATGCTTTCCTAAATGGAGATTTGGAGGAGGAAGTGTACATGGAAATCCCAGATGGAGTAATAGCTCCACCCAACTCAGTTTGCAAACTGAAGAAATCACTATATGGCCTGAAACAGTCTCCACGAGCGTGGTTCGACAGGTTTGCCAAGGCAATCAAAAGGTTTGGCTACGTCCAAGGACAAGCCGATCACACTCTCTTCGTTAAACACAGTAATGGAAAGGTAACGATCCTAATTGTGTATGTGGATGATATAGTCATAACTGGTAGTGATGAAGTTTCTATCTCCCAACTCAAGAAAGCTCTAGCTAGGGAATTCCAAGTGAAGGACCTAGGACAAATGAAGTACTTTCTTGGAATGGAGGTTGCAAGATCCAAAAAGGGTATAAGTGTGTCTCAACGAAAGTACACACTTGATTTGCTCCACGAAACAGGAATACTTGGGGCTAAACCTAGTGAGACGCCTATGGAAGAATCATGTAATCTGGAAGTGAAACCAGACGGGGTACCAGTCAACTCAGAAAGGTACAGAAGACTTGTAGGTAAACTGATCTACTTGACTCATACAAGGCCTGACATTAGCTATGCTGTTGGAGTAGTAAGCCAATTTATGCATCAACCCCAGGAAGAACATATGGAAGCAGTATACAGAATCCTGACCTACCTCAAACTCAATCCTGGAAGAGGAATATTCTTTAAAAAGGGGAGTACAAGGAACATAGAGGTCTACACTGATGCAGATCATGGGAGAGCTGTGGATAACAGAAGATCTGTCACAGGATACTGCACTTATGTTTGGGGAAACCTAGTCACTTGGCGAAGCAAGAAACAGACAGTAGTCTCAAGGAGTAGTGCTGAAGCTGAGCTGAGAGCTGTAGCCCTGGGGGTATGTGAAGGAATGTGGGTGATCAGACTTCTGAAGGAATTGAGAATTTCCTATGAAGGACCTATGAACCTCTGGTGTGACAACCAAGCCAGCATTGAAATGACCAAGAATCCTGTGTATCATGACCGAACAAAGCATGTTGACATTGATCGACACTTCATCAAAGAAAAGGTTGAAGATGGCACAATTAACCTGAGCTATGTGCGCTCAACTGATCAGATTGCTGACGTCATGACCAAACCTTTAGCCAGAGTCAAGTTTGAAGGGCTTCGAAGCAAGCTGGGAATGGTTGACATTTACTCTCCAGCTTGAGGGGGAGTGTTAGAAAGCCCCTGATTATCTCCCCTGATTATCTCCCTTGATTCTCTCCATTTATTGCCCATGATATTAGCTAGAAGATATATTTCCTGATTTATTGAGATATTGCAATATATGTAATTTATTGAGATTGATTGTAACCGGATATTATTTTCTCATCCGGACTCTATATATTGTAACTCAATCATATGGAATAAGATATGAGAATGAAATATTCAGCAAAGTAAACATTTTTTAATCCCATGTTTTCATATTCAACAATAATTCTGTATTGATTGGAACATAACAGTTTAATATCACCTTCTTACTCATTGTCTTTTGACGAAATATGTTTATACAGCGTGTCTATCTTGCAAAAATGTTAATGGTTCGAATTGGTATAAGTCACTATGTTGCCAACTCTTTTGCAGTTATTTGAAAAGGGGAGTCAATGACCGGGGAAGAGTTGCCAATGATGTTGAGACAGAACAGATTGTCCTTGATGAAGAAGCTGGTTCTTTCAAGGGAAAAATGAGTTCAGTTGTGCAAATGCGTGGCTCTATTCCACTTTTCTGGTCTCAAGAAGCTTCTAGATTCAGCCCCAAGCCTGACATTATCTGTAAGCGTTGGAAGTGTTAGAATTTTTAATAATGTAATTATTTAATTATTTTTAGTTTAGTTATTTTATTATTCCTTCTGTAATTGCAATTTTGTCACCTAGAGTAACCTTTACACTGTAAGTACTCATGTACATGGCCTCATTCTATAGAATAGAAGTGAGGATTTCAGAGTTAACTGTCAATAAATAAGCATGTTTTTATATATTAAATTTTATTTAATCAAACAATTTTTTTTTTTTCCTGTGCTCCTTCTATATTACACTAGCTCTTCTTTGATGGATTCTTCTCTTTTCTTCAGTGCAGAGGTATGATCCTACATATGAGGCAACAAAATTACATTTTGAAGACCTTTCTCAGAGATATGGCAATCCAATTATTGTGCTTAATTTGATTAAGGTAATTTTTCATTGGAGGATGACCATGCCCCAAAGTGGTGTGATCTGTGAAGGCTAACAGAGTCAGGTTATGAGTTATTTAATTCTTTTGTAAAGGATATTACCTTGGTCACCATCCATGTGTTGCAGAGAGAAGCACTTTTCCTTCACTGTCCCCAGTCTCTACTTCAGATCAGTACTTGTGCCCCCATCCTGGTCCACAACCATGCTTTTTCCTCCTATCCACTTACTTACCATCAGAGATCCAAACTTCTGTCAAGTATCTCTATATATTAATTAGCTAGTGCTTACAAAGCCGCATGAGAAACGCATTAGGATACAAATATATATTGATAGTGCTATAAGCATTTGCTGATTTTTCTATTTGGTTGCTAAAACAAATTCCAAATATGAGAAAGATTACAACGAATGAGGATAAGAATTCCTCAAGGTATGATTTATAGGAGTTTATCCTTCCTCCAACCTCATCGGCCTTTAACAATCTTATCTCAGCCAGCATAACTTTCCTCAACCCATTTTTTTTAGTTACTTTGATCAGCGTGACATCAGAAGCTTCCTTTGGCAGCAACTATCCTTGCTCAATCTTCCTAGTCACCATTCTTTTGATCACCTACAGTTGATGAAAGAACAGACCTAGAGTGGAACCGAATGCTGATATGTGGTGGGTTAATGATGGGAATGGTGGTTATGAAGTTATTAACTTCCTTTACGTTTTGGCAGTATAGTATGTATTTTGAAATTGTCATTTTGTATAAAGTCATGGTGCATTGTTTCTAAGTATGTGAAGCCTAGCTGTCATGTTTTTATGAGTCAGTTACTTATGTGAGTGCCACTTGTGTTATATTAGTTAGTGATTTGATGATGTCTTCGTATCAAACTATACAAGCGTGATATTGTGAATGCTGAGTGATATGAGATGTATTATTCAGTAAGTACCTGGAGATCCTCCCTCGTTTATTTGTTTATTTCTTGGATTCTGATTCATAAACTAAGAGAGGTTCAAGCTAATCCTCTATCCTTCCCTGTTCCTGCCATGTTTCTTGCATTTTTTTTTTTTTTTTCATTACATACTAATTGCACTTCCCTGTAGAAAGCACTAGCCTTATTGCTTAAGTTATTATCATTTTTAACGAAATACCTTTAAGCAATAAGGTTGTTGATAGAAAATAATAGTGTCATGCGATCCATATAGCCGATCCCATCCGATGGGATAAGGCTTGTTATTGTTGTTGTACCTTTAAGCAATAAAAAAAAACTGAATTTATGTTTTCCCAGAGCTCATTTAAACAATAATTACAGACTGTTGAAAAAAGACCACGAGAGATGATGCTGAGGCGTGAATTTGCTAATGCTGTGGGGTATCTGAACCAAATTTTACCTGAAGAAAATCATCTTAGATTTATTCATTGGGACTTTCACAAGTTTGCAAAGAGGTGAGCATGTCAGGTTATATGTTCTTCCCCACTATGTAATCATATTTTTGAGTCAGTCCAAAATTATATCTGACTATTATATTCTTCTGCTTTCGAAGTAAGTCTGCCAACGTTTTGGCAGTTTTAGGTGGTGTGGCAAGTGAAGCACTTGATTTAACCAGTTTTTACTTCAGTGGCAAACCCAACATTGTAAAAAGGACCAAGGGCAACCGACCAAGCAATGGAAGGTACCAATGAAATTATTGACCAATATTCCACATGCGGCCTTTTTGTGTAATTTATTTCATAGCCTCTGGCTGAATCTAGAATCCTAATTTGGACAATCAAAGACGCAAGCAAAATATATTGGGGTGAATGCCCTTTACTTCATTACTGTTGTTATGTTCATCCGTGAGCCACTTAGACCTTTCTTCACCCTTATGTTATTTGTGCATTTTTTGTGGACCGAAGTTATTTGTGCACAGATGATTTTTAAATAGGGTTTGTTATGCGGACTGCTTATCTATTTTGCGAACATGGATTCTAGAACGTTTGATTCCCTTATTCAGTATGCGGGTAGTTTTTCTTTTGATCTTACATTTTTGGGAGCGCCACACATGCATGAATTTTAAGAACTTCATCCCATTAAGGGTTGATTCCTGTGCAGTGGGAATATCTTTTCCATTTTGGATATATTGAATTACCCTTTTTTTTTTCCCCCTTTGCGCAAATTGTCTCTTACCCAAACTTTCTTAGGTCGCATTACCAACCAGCCATAACTTGTCTGCCATTTTCATGAATAAAGGAAAAGATATATATTATGAATTTATAACAACAGTCTGCTCCAAACTATAAGACTTTTTACAGCTTTCATTTGAAGTAGAGGTCGTTACCTAACAGATTCAACATCAATCTGCCCTGGAACTTTGTCCCTAGAAGAAATACTGCCACCAGCAGTTATGTTCTTCGAAAACTTCAGCATTCACTTTTGGTCCTGTCAGTTTGCTGCTTCTGCTTCTGACAAAAATCATCCTTGAACTGTTTAGAGAGCAAACCTTTCTCTATCTCAATTTTAAAACACAAGTCATCATCTGAAAACATCATTTCTAGTTTGTCCGAGGAAGTGGACCCTTTAGAACCTGAAATATAGAGGTAGTGTCTACTGCTGCAATATCCTTGGTTCATTACTAAAATGCTCCTCCTTTTTCATAACCAGCCTCTTGCAAATTATTCTTCTAGATCGCTTTTTTCCTAGAAATTTTTTTTTTAAAAAGAAAAAAAAAGGATCACAGCTTGTTGGAAATGTCTCAATTTGCAGATCGTCTTTGTCTGTGATATCAGCTCTATAATTTTTCACCCCCTAAACACAGCCTCACATTCCTTGAGATAATCCAAAGGGATTCTTATCTCTTATGCAATTAAATAATGCGGTTTTTCATATGCACTGCTGTCATTGTATACAGGGATACTTCTCTAAAAGATTTAAGAACGAGTTCAGGAGATATTGCAAGGATCGGAAACAGTAACGAAATTCCAAATGCATTAGTCAATCAAGACAGCGAGACTGACAATAACCAACAGAGCCAAATAGATGTTTGTGGTGAAGCACCGTGCTTTCAAAGTGGAGTTCTGCGCACCAACTGCATTGATTGCTTGGACCGTACAAATGTGGCACAGTATGCCTATGGCCTTCAAGCTCTAGGACGCCAGCTTCATGCTATGGGTTTATCTGATGTTTCCAAAGTGGACCCTGATAGTAGTATTGCTGCAGCTCTTATGGACATGTACCAGAGTATGGGTGATGCTCTTGCCCAGCAGTATGGTGGTTCTGCTGCTCATAATACTGTATGACGTTTTATGAGATTTGTATCGCAGTTAATATAATTTTTTGGATAAATAATGAATATTCTTATTTGCCTCTGCTTCATGCTCCTTATTTCTGATTTTTTGGCTGACAGGTTTTCCCAGAGAGGCAGGGAAAGTGGAAAGCAACAACGCAATCAAGAGAGTTTATGAAGTCTATAAAGCGATATTATAGCAATGCTTACACTGATGGTGAAAAACAAGATGCAATAAACTTGTATTATTCTTTCCTCTTATATTTTCTTAGCAAACGATTCCCCCCTTCCCGGATGGCTTTAATAAAACTGCTTTAGAAAGTGTTGATGCATCTGTTTGCTTTATGTTGGACATGTGATTTCATTCCTTGCCTAATCAATCTGTGGCGATGGTCTTTTACTCAATTGGTAGGTTTTTAGGTTACTTCCAACCACAAGAAGGGAAACCTGCTCTTTGGGAGCTGGATTCAGATTACTATCTCCATGTTTCTGGGATTGGAGATGACCTGATCCCTGATAAGGGGTGAGTCCCCTAATCTGTGTAACAAATGATTTATAAATTCATCGTTGACATATTTGTACATGGTATATTACACTAACTTTGCTTTATTTATATATTTTCATATTGTTCGTGTGCCTTTTCCTTTTTTGAACTTTTGAAATTTGCAGTTCTGAACTTATTACTAAGCCTTCTCGTAGAACTGGAACAACCCTCATACCTGTCCCAGCTTGTAGAGAAGACTTCTCGCGCATAAAGTTGACATCATTTGACAAGTTAATTGAAAAGACTAGGAGTGAAATTCGGAATGTAAGACTTTTCGGTGAACCTGATCAGAAACCAGGTGGTTTTGGAAACAGTGGGGTTGCACCTGATGCAGCGTAATTTTTCTTATTCTAAACATCTGATTTACTTCTCATTTTTTTTATCTCTGCCACTGATTTCTATTACTAAAATTTTTCATACCTCACAAATAATATCACTTTTCCTTTTAATTTTTATAATATGATGTTTCAGTATCTTTATTCACTGATTTGTTACTCTAGAATTTGATAGTCTTAACTTCTGGTACTTAAAGCTTTTGTTTCAATATGATTTTTCTTTATTAGTTGTTCAATAATATATCCTTTTAGACAGTAACTCAGTATTTTTGTGTTCTGAATAATGCAAGAGAAATGTGAGAAAGGGAGCTAGAGAAAATGTGAATATGAAGTCGGTGAGAATTGATCTGCCTGACCCTCTTATTTATGATAGGGTACAAGGCCATATATTTATGCCTAATAATCGCCAAAATAATCTAGTTATGTACTATCTACCACAAACAATCCTAATCATCTACAATCAAATCATATCACAATTAGCAGTCCCCCTTAAGTTGAAATTTATAGGTCATATGACCAAGCCTGTTGAAGGAAAAGTGGGATTTCCTAACGCCCCATTTGGTAGGAAGGAATTTGAGATTTGGAGATACAAAGGGAGAGAATGTCAAATTCCCTTGTTTGTTTCACCTGAAGTGTTTCAAATGCTCATCGGGATCCACAATTTTCCTTTAAAACACTAGAAAATGGTCCCCCACCTCCCCCGAGGATAATGCGAATTTTTGTGGAACGCATTTTTTGCTGACATAAATAGCTCTAGCATCTCATTTCCGGGCATATTACTCCCCTTTGAAAAGCTATCATCTATATCCTTCATGGCAGCAGCAAGGACTACAGGTTCAGGCAGCAGCTTCTCCAGATTTTGACAGCAAGGGCCACACTCTAATGATGGAGACCATAGACTCTGGCAATGGCTATTTCTCTCTTTGGCGAAGATCTAACAAGCCATGTTCAAGTTCAACCATAGCAGAACTGACCTCCTGCCACCGCTATCATTCCCCTTCCTTCATCATTGCAGATCTGTTCGGCCTCCATCATCTTCCACCTGCCTCCAGCTTCCTCCACGTCCCTCCACCATTGCAGATTTGTTTTGATGGCTTTATAGATATTTTGGTCTTTTCATTCTTAAATCTTTCCATTTCATTAAATTTTTCCAACATACCAAAAAATAAATCATGTAAGGATTGCATCAAGACTTTCCAACATGCCAAACATATTCTTAAAACGTCCATTCCCTTCCTCGTAGATCTGTTCGGCCTCCCTCATCTTCCACCTGCCTCCAGCTTCCTCCACGTCCCTCCACCACTGCAGATTTGTTTTGATAGCTTCGTAGATATTTTGGTCTTTTCATTCTTAAATCTTTCCATTTCATTAAATTTTTCCAACATACCAAATAAAAATAAATCATGTAAGGATTCCATCAAGATTTTCCAACATGCCAAACATATTCTTAAAACTTCCATTCCCTTCCTCTTCCCATTTCCATTCATTTTCCTGTTCTGTAAAAAATCTTTCCAGTTAACCAAACGAAGGCTTAATATTTTTGTAAGAAGGTCAGCCAAGTGAGAAACAAAATAGGATTTTCTTCTTGATGGGATTCAAGTTTGTTTGGTCTTCTCATGAAAGACTAGACTAGGGGCAATTTATAGAGCAACGGGATTGTCACACTTTAGTGTCATTTGGTCAAGATATCCAAATTGAAGTTCTTGGTGTAATTGCTTCATCTTCATAAGTTCACAGTTGCCAATTCCATGGCATGGTATTTTGCTTTAGCACTAGGTCTTGCAACATCATGTTTCATGCTATCCCAAAGATTTCCTTGAAGAAAATATGCAGTAACTTCTTGTGGATCAACAATGGGTAGTCGATTGCGAATCTTATCTTTTCTTATATGACCACACATCCTTCTTAACATTGTCATCTCAGCTACCCCAACTTTATGCTTGTGTTGTCCCTTTAAAGTTCACATTCAGCTACCGCATGCAGCTTGATCAACATCTTTTGCTATGTGAACAGCAAGCCAATTGCTACAATCACAACTAGTCATTGGAGGCAATCATACCATCAACAATTACACCAAAGATTTGGTTATTGATAGAGCACAAAGACACCATTCAATCTGTGTGGTCAACCCCACCTTGTAGGATAAGGCTTGTTTTTTTTGTTTTTGTATTGTCAATATCCACAAGGATCTGCTAGATGCCCCTTGTAGGCCTTGTAAGCAACTCAAGTTTGTTTAAATAGTATAATGCTTGGTAGAAGAAATTGTCTCACTTTTAAGTTTAGATCTTGCATTTCTACATCAATGGAAATTCTTTGCTTGAATTCAGCATCTCATGCCATGCTAATGCTACTTCTTTCCCATATATTCTCTTTTTAGTGAGAGGGAATGGCTTGCTATGTTGTAGATTTGTATGGAACAAAGAAAGCATTCTTGCTTGTCATAAATCCAGATCATTTTTTGCAATTTCACTGATTCTCTTGTGCTCTTGTTCAGTGAGATACAACTCAAGAGCCCAAATTGGCTTTTTGGCCAGAGAAAGCATGAAGGAGGTACCATGGCCGGGAAAGCTGCTTCTCGTGAAATTGATATTGAAAGATCTCTAGTTGAGACAAAGGGTAATGGTTTTTACAACCTAAACTGGCTTTCTTCTGGCAATGATTTGAATGAAGAGGATGCTTTCCAAAGGTATGTATCGCAAAAGTGCCTCATTTTTCTAGTTCATTGTCTCATTATATTCATAATCCCATTTATTAATATTTTTCCTATACTTTTATTTGCCAGTAATTTATTTTTATGTCTATTTGTTTTATCCTGAGATTTAGCCTGTTCTGAACTGTGGAATGAAGGCTTTCTAAACGTTGATGGACCAAATTGTGTGCATTTGTAAATTGTAAACTCATACAGGGATGTTTGATATTTTTACATGGGGATCTGGACTGGACTCTATGCGATTTTTAAGCATTCGGTAGACATAAGTGAAAATTGATGGGAAAATGATGTGATACACATGTGGAGAGGACAGTAGAAGGGTAGCCTATCAATTCCACTGCTTACAGGAACTTAAACGAGAGAGATCAGAGAGAATCGAATCAAATCTGGAAATGGAATATTTACACAATAAATGAGAGAATATGAACACATATAACAGGAAAGAATACAAGCATAATAGATCTGATTAATTAGCGGAATATCTGGGCTAATATTCTGCTAACAACAGGTGTTTCCCTTTGTCTGAAAAAATATAATGAATGTGCCATTAAAGTTTCTTAACTCCTCTAGTTTCCACCATGCCTGAAAATTTGGGGTTTTATAAAAGGTTTTTGGTCATTTGCTGTTATTTCTTTGATTGATTAGGAATCTGGTTCAAAATTTTGAATTTTTATTTCAAAACGATAATCTTATGTTGATTCCTTTCGGAGCCCTAATTATTCTGGGGTATAGTTAAACACCAATTTCTTATCGCTGTCTTTGATAACTCAATTATTGTCTACTTTGAATTTCCAGGTACCCGACAGTGACATCTAATGAGGACAATGGTTGGTACGGAGGCACCCTTCTTGGTGATCAAAATGAAAGCAGTGAGTTATATAAGCATTATGCAGCGTTATGTCAGGTATGCATGTGCAGCCTTTCAATCATATATGTTGTTGCCTCCACGTAAATAGACATCCTGGCTACGGGGGTGGTTAAATGGATCTATGATAATCAATTCCTATATTATTCTATCAAATTCAATTTACAATATGTATCTGATTAATGAATTGACCGTAATTACAAGCAAGGTTTTATTGGCCGAATCCTATAAATGCGTTGTAGTGAGTTGGGCAACAGATGGGTCTTTATTTAATTTGTTAATTGTTAATAAAAACTTGGTGTCTATAATTCTTTTTTCTTGGGTAAATTGGAGGATTAGAGAACAAGACCAAGGAGACAAAGAAAGGCACTTAGGGAAGTTATAGAATGGGATCTCACGGTGAACGGTATTCTGAGCAGTTAAATGTGATAGAGTGGCCCAATGGCATCATATGATCTTAGCCACCCTTGTGTTTGTTGTCGTCGTCCTTGATACATTGAAGGAAGGAGGATGTGAAGCAGGAAACCCTTGACTTGTATTCCCAACCACCTTTCTCACCCGGCCCATCTTCTTAGTGATTTTCTTCTCCATAATTTATTGATATGTAAATTTTCTAATTAAAATTAAAATTCCATGTGTTCTACTTTAGAAGAGGCCTAGCATATTTTGGCTTCAGGTATTCTGAGCATCTTAATTATCTATAGTTCTTGACAAATATCAGTGAATTGTGCAGGGACTTGAATTGGAACTATTTCATAATGATCCTGGGAGTGAGAGACATTATGCCGATGTTTTGAGCCTAAGTTCATTTGACATGGTTAATGACGATGTCGTTGCTCAAGAAATGGAAGCAGCTGTCAAGGAATATGAGCAAGTTGGAGCTGACCTTGGCATCATTCCCTCATCTTGTAAATACTTTGCTGAAGATCCCAGTTGGCTGTCAAGATGGTTAATAGGAGAAGAGAAAGTACCGGGGACATAACGCCCCACTATATCAATGGTTTGTATTAAGGAGAAAATTAATGTGAAAATATATTTCTTATATATTCATGATCAGAAAGGGTGAATTTATACACGAGAGAGGAGCCTCGGTCATTAATGGCTCATTATTAGAGGATACTATCCTATCCCATCATATCTGATTTGATCCTATATTAATTGCAATATATTTACATATCTTTACACTCCCCCTCAAGTTGGAGCATAGATGTCAATCATACCCAACTTATTACAAAGATAGTCAACCCGAACCCCATTCAAAGTTTTAGTAAGGAGATCACCCAATTGATCACTAGACCTCACGTGTCCTGTTGAGATGAAGTTTTCCTTGATCTTATCTCGAACAAAATGAAAATCAATCTCAATATGTTTTGTGCGTTCATGAAACACTGAATTAAAAGTTATATATAAGGCTGTTTTATTGTCGCGCCACAATTTTGCTGGTAATGAGGTTTTAAGACCAATCTCTTTCAATAATTGATATATCTAGATGATCTCGCACACAGACTGTGTCATAGCTCTATATTCTGCCTCTGCACTTGATTGTGACACCACATTCTGTTTCTTGCTCCTTCAGGACACCAAATTTCCGTCCACAAAGACACAATATCTTGTAGTAGATCTTCTTGTGGCCTTTGAACCACCATGATCAGCATCATAAAAACACTCAATATCTATATGACCATGATTTCTGTATAATATCCCACGACCTAGAGACTCCTTCAAGTAATGAAGCACATGCTCTAAAGCTTCCCATTGTCTGATAGTAGGCGAGATCATAAACTGGCTAAGTATACTGACTGGATAGGTGATATCAGGACGGGTCATAGTAAGATAATTCATTTTTCCAATCAATATTCGATACCTCTTCGGGTTTTCAAACGGCTTGTTCTTAGCAGCATCAACAGGATTCTTAGATAGTATGCTTCCATCGGCATCAAGGAGTGGATTATAAATCATAGGAAAATTGTTTGGCGCAGCCTCTAACTTTCCAATTTCCTTTAACAGATCAAGAACATACTTTCTTGGAGACCTTTCTTACTTCTCAAGACCTCAATTTCGAGAAAGTACTTTAACGGGCCCAGATCTTTTGTTTGAAAATGAGAATTAAGAAAGGACTTAGGTGAAGAGATCCCCGACATGTTGCTCCCTATAATCACAATATCATCTACATACACAACCAATAGAATCATGCCAGTGCCTGTGCTCTGGTAGAACACAGAGTGATCACACTTACTTTGACACATGCCAAATTTCTGTGCAACAGTACTGAACCTGTCAAACCATGCACGGGGACTCTGCTTCAGGCCATATAAGGATCTCTTGAGGCGACATACTTTTCCATGCTCCCCCTAAGCAACAAAGCCTAGTGGTTGCTCCATATAGACTTTTTCAAGAAGATCACCATGTAAAAAGGCATTCTTTATATCCAATTGATGGAGATCCCAGCCATAGGTTGCCGCCATAGAGATGAAAAGACGAACGGAAGAAAGTTTCGCAACAGGGGAGAAAGTTTCAGAGTAATCAACACCATAGGTCTGAGTATAGCCTTTAGCAACCAAGCGAGCTTTAAGACGGTCAAGGGTACCATCAGCTCGGGTTTTAGGGGTTAAGACCCACTTACAGCCAATAGCCTTCTTTCCTGCTGTAGATCCACTAAGGTCCAAGTGTCAGCCCGGTCAAGGGCCGCCATCTCCTCTTCCATAGCAGCATGTCAACCCGGGTGGGTTAAAGCTTCATGAAGGGTCTTAGGTACGGAAATAAGATCTAAAGAAGAGACAAAGGCACAAGAGGTAGGGGAAAGGTGGTTACAAGAAAAAAATGAGGAAATAGGATGGGTGCAAGTGCATTTACCTTTGGGAAGAGCAATGGGCAAGTCAAGTGAAGGATCTGGATCAGGAACAAGAGGTGTCTCGGAGTTAGAGAGAGGAGTAGCCTCAGGATGAGAGATGCTCGACATAGGATTCGATGACAAAGCAGACACTGGAGGGCCGAAATCTGGGATGGTGACATTGGTCTCCTTGGAATGTCTTGTGTAGACACGAGACAGGGGTGGTGGCACAGGAGTCAGAGCCGGAGCAGGAGCTGGAGGTGGTGGAGTGGGTGGTGGGAGAACAGGGTACACCAGAAGGTCATCCTCTTCCACAGGTGGAGGAGAGGCAGGTGAAATGGACGGAGAAAAGTATGGAATCGATTCCTGAAAGGTGACATCTGTAGAAATGAGATAACGATTAAGAGTAGGAGAGAAACACCGATAGCCCTTTTGAACCCGAGAGCAGCCAAGAAAGACACACTTAAGGGACTTTGGATCTAATTTGGAGACAGAGGGTCATACATCCCGAACAAAGCAAACACAGTCGAAGATCCTAGGATTAACAAGAAACAAAGGTTTGGAAGGGAAAAGAGTAGTATAGGGAATGTTACCATCAAGAACCAAAGAGGGCATGCAGTTAATGAGGAAGCAAGCAACGGAGACCGCATCAGCCCAGAAAGTTTTGGGAACCTTTATTTGAAACAAAAGTGCTCGTGCCAACTCTAGTAAGTGGCGATTTTTACGTTCTGCAACACCATTTTAAGCTGGTATATCAACACAAGAAGATTGATGAAGGACACCATTTTGGAGCATATAGGATTGAAACGTGCTAGAAAAATATTCTTTAGCGTTATCACTACGTAAAGTGCAAATGGAAGTATGAAATTGAGTTTTAATTTCTGCAAAAAAGGCACAAAAATGAGGGAATAATTCAGAATGAATTTTCATTAAATATAATCAAGTTGTACAGGAATAGTCATCAACAAATGTAACAAAATGTTTAAAACCTGCTGTTGACTCAACAGGACATGGACCCCAAACATCAGAATGAACTAGCTCAAAAAGGGACGAAGCCCGTTTATTGACTTGAGAAACTAAAGGAAGATGATGATGTTTGGCAAACTGACATGACTCACAATCTAAATATGACAAATGTTGAAACTGAGGATAAACCATTTTTAAAGAAAACAAAGACAAATGACCCAAACAACAATGTGCTTCAAAAGGAGCGAGACCACTGGCACAAGCCACAACACGAGACCCTTGCTCGTCAAGGAAATAATGTCTACCAGATTCATAGCCCCTACCAATAATCTTCTTCGTCAAAAGATCATGTATCAAGCAATGATCAGGAAAGAGTGAGACCCAATAGTTTAATTGACGAGTAAGTTTACTAGGGGAAAGCGGATTAAATGCAAGATCAGGTACATTTAGCACAGATGACAAATGAATGGAAGGGGTAGGTTTAACAGTGCCTGATCTAAGGACCCGGGAATGGGAGCCATTGGTAATAGTGATAGTTGAAGGATTGGCGTAAGAATTATAAGTGGAGAAGAGATGGGGGTTACCTGTCATGTGGTCAATAGCACCAGAATCTATGATCCATTTGGAGGAAGAAGAGACAAGAGCAGTAGCCTGATTACCTGTAGTAGCAATAACACTCACGGGTGGAGTGAGAGATTTTAATTGAGCATATTCAGCAGCAGAGATTGTGACCTTATCATTAGCTAGTGTTGCCACATGTGCAGCAGAGTTATTACTTTGTTGTTTGTTTTGTAGCTTATGAAAAGTACGCTTCGTATGGCCCGGTTCCTTACAGTAGTAACATACCACCCTACTCGAATCTAGAGTAGTTCCACCTTGCTTGAGGCCGCCACGGTTAGTCGTCCCACGACTATCATTTGGGCCTCGACTGATTAGAGCACTGACAGGAGCATTAGTAATTGGTGATGAAAGATTCTCGGTCCTCATCACACGAGAGAACACCTCCTAAAGGGTAGGAATCTCAGAACCAGATAGAATTTGAGAGCGAACCGTTTCATATTCAGGCAGAAGACCAGTGAGAAAACTCATGATGGCCATGTGCTCTCGTGGGGCCTGTTGGACCTTCAGATCAGCAGTAAGAGGCATGAGAACATTCAATTCTTCATACATTCGTTTAAAATCCATGAAGTAGGTCTTGAGAGGGCGATCCTGCTTCTCTGCGTGATAAAAGGCTTTGCAAACCTCATAAACACGAGAAATATTACCCTTGCCTGAGTATAAAAATTCTAAATAATTCATCAGTTCTTTAACGAATTCACAATGAGTAATAGAAGGAATAATCTCACTGTCAATAGAGTTACGGATTTGTAAAAAGAGTCGTGCATCGTCTCTTAACCATGACTGATGAGAATCAGTTATTGGGGGATCGGTAGTTAAATGATCCTCCTTCTCAATGCTTCGCAAGTAAATATGGATGGTCTTACTTCAATCCAAATAATTTGTCCAGTTCAATTTATGCTCAGTAATCTTAACGACTACTAGAACTACTTCAGAAGTAACTGCAAACTTATTATCACCCATGAGAGAGTAACAGAAAAGATGAAGAATAATTTTAACAATGATAAGAAATAATGAGTAGCCACAAATGGTCACACTAGGGACCAACCAGTAATACCCAAGCTCAATTTTAGGCAAATCGAAGATAATACGATGGAGACTGGATACGCACAGCAGCAGGAATCAAAAAACGGATCTGAATCAAAGCAAGGAGGAAGACCCACGCCGAAAACGCACCAGAGATTAGTCGACAAAGAGAAGACGAAGCCGAGGAAGGGCTTCAACGCCGGAAAACAGTCGGCGCGTGAACAAATCGTCGTTGGTGACGGCGCGTGGATCTCACGTGCTGCTCGGACAACGACGAAACTCCGAGCTTTGGCCGATCTAGACCTCACAACTCCCCCTGACCGGCGCGTGCTCCCACTTGACACTAGGAACGGATGTCCTAATGGCGGGCACAAGACTGACGTAGAACAACTGACGGAAATCTCACTAGCGTTCAAACCAGAGAAGAAAACAACCCTAAAATGCTAGCTCTGATACCATATTAAGGAGAAAAATAATGTGAAAATATATTTCTTGTATATTCATGATCAGAAAGGGTGAATTTATATACAAGAGAGGAGCTTCGGTCATTAATGGCTCATTATTAGAGGATATTATCCTATCCTATTATATCTGATTTGATCATATATTAATTACAATATATTTACATATCTTTACAGTTTGGTTATTATATTTCCAGCTGTAAAGGAATGGAATATTCAAATACTTCTTCCAGCCTCCCATAAATATTTTCTCGTATCAAAGAATCCGGACAACGGTCAGTACGGCCGGGGAAACTTCAGGTGCCAGCAAATTCCAAATGTTGAGTAATGTACAGTTCGCACAAATTACACTTACATGAGGGATGCATAGTGCTTGTGAAGAGTAGAAACTACAGGCAGGTGCTTTGTTGATTAGGAATATTATGAGATGATTTTTGCCAGAAAGCCATAAACAAGACAGTGCTAATGGCTATTTTTTTCCTGCGCCTTCTTTCACACGAAACTGAACCGTAAACCCTTTATCTAAAGTTCTTGGTGTGGCTTCACAAAATTCGGGTCAGTCCTTTTCTTTGTGCTCTTTTTAATTCTCTCTTACCAATAGTCCTTTTTTCATAGGTGGGTTTGAGGCATATGAGTTTAATTGACCTATGAAGTGGAGACTACTGCGACTGTGGAGTGTGGACCGTTGGATCAAGTTTGTTGATTCAAATTTTATGGTTTTTAAAATTTCGTATTAATCTGCACAGTTAAAATTTGATAAAAAAGGGTTCAAAAGTCTAATGAGTAGAAAGAAATCAAGTCTTTTATATATTGACATTTCAAGTAACTGCGTCCTTCGAATTCAAATTTTCTCATGTTTTCTTAAGAAAATGATTCTTAATTCTGAATAGTCTATATTTATTCTTAAATGAAAAAAATACAAAATTAATATGAATAAATCTGGAACTGTTCAAAATAATTTTCAGCAGGTAGATTGTACTCCAAATAACAAAAATGTAAAACACACAAGTGAAACAGACAATGTAGCATCAATTTTGAAGGATAATTCATATTTTCTATAATTTCCTCTCTTCGGTGAAAGTGCTCTCGGGCAAAATAAATCTAGAAACCTTCACCAAAAATAAATAAATAAATAAATCTAGAAACCGAAAATGGGGGTAAAAACACCAGTGAAACGTCCAATACAATCTCGAGAGCAAATAAACATCCAAAGAGTGCCTTGGTGTTATAATTTTCAGTCAATCTTTCAAATTCTAGAACCCCCCTGAATTATTACTCACTCCATCCTTATAAGAAACAACTATTCCCTCCGGGGAAAAAATAAACTTTTTCCAATTATGCCCTTATTTACGGAGTAAGTAAGAAAAAGAAATAGAGTAATAACAAGAAGAAATATGAAAGAGAGTGTAGTATGCCAAGTTGTCAACATTTTAACTAATACAATATATAAAATTAATTGGGGGTAAAAATACATTAAATGTTTAGATGATGCCAATTAGATTCTTATAAAAAAGACCAAGACAATTCAAATTTCAAACTCTTATAAAAAGGACCAAAAGAAAACCATTTCTATTTTGTCCCTATTTATGACAAAATGTTTCAAACTTTCTTGGCTGGTGTCCTATTTTTTCCATTAATTACTTATTTTAATATATTTATTATCTCATTTTTCAAACCATCATCCTCTCTGTCACATATTTTTTTCTTCCATAATTTCTTTATTATAATATCCTTATTCTCTCTCTTATACTTTCTCTCCCTTAAAAAAAAAAGACTCAATTATATATTTAATCTTTGATTAATTTTTTTATCAGAGAGTTTTTAATTAAATTTAACTAGCTTTTTCAGCTACATAATTTGGTCAGATGTTTCTTTGAAAAAAGGGAGGGAGAGAATAAGCAGCAAGCAATTGAAAACGGGCACTAATTGACGCTTGTTGCCTTCTTGAACATTTTTTCTAACCTTAAAAACTGAACATTCATGCATGGCTTGCACCCCAAGGATCTGAATTCAGTTGCTCTCCAAATCTCTGAGACAGCTAATAAATGTGAAATACTATTACTTTGCACAGAACTCTTTTTTTTATTTATTTATTTGGGTGCTCTCAAATGCTCAAATGTGTCCAAGTTTATGTCACTCAACGGATAGAATGATGGGCAAGAATGCAAACTGATTCTTACTCGAGTCTGTCTGAGACAGCTAATAAATGTGAAATACTATTACTTTGCATAGAACTTCACTTTCTTTCGTCTGTTTTTTTTTTTATTTTTTTGGGGGGTGCTCCCAGGCTCAAATGTGTCCAAGTTTTTTTTTTTTTTTTTCCCCTGATAATACAAATGTGTCCGAGTTTTTGTCACTTAATGCATAGGATGATTGAGAAAAGGTAGGTCTTAAAACTTTCATTTAGTGATAGTTACGTGACACCTGAAATTCATAATTTGTAACCGACACTCCCATACTTGCAACTGTCTGAATTGCTTTTTGCAACTAATCTCGTAACAATTTTTTTTGGGAGACCTCATTGTCATCAAATTAAAATTCCGAAACCTAACTGTTGTTACCTCTAAAATTATTTATCCAGCACCTATCAAACTAATACTAGGAAAAATGGCACAAATCCAACCCCAAAAGCCCCCTCAGCAATACCGGTCAAAACGATCACATAAGCATCACCAAAGATGCATCAGCCAACGTCAAGGCTGTGTACCATGCGGTTGGACTGATTACAAGTAAATCTTCTAGGAAATGCATCACTAATAAGAAAACAGAATACATATTCTACAAATAGCTCATCAATTTTTTTAAAAAAATTTTAAACAACTAAATCATAGCACCATTTCAGGATTTCAGAAATGCTAATATTCTGCAGCAAATTATGTATCATGGCTTCAATCACAAAATTCATATCATGCAACAAATACGAGCTTGGCATTCAGGACATTTAAGGCAAAAACTTAGTTAATACTTCGTGAGGGAAAAGGTATAATTTTGAGCTTGGAGGACATAAGGATTCCCAAACCTGTTGTCTAAGTACTCTATGACGACCATGATCAACATTGCCCCCCATAGAACATAAAATCCCACAAATCATCAATGAGGACATCGGAATCTAGGATCATATCAGAGTCATTGGCTTTCTCAGACTCACATCAACCACCGATGGTTACGCATTAGCGCTCGGTTCAGAATTTGTTTCTGATGGTTTAACCATATCTTGAAAAGCTTCCATGTCAATGGTCATTTCATCATTGATATCAGCCTCAGTCATGACTACATCCTTGTCAGCAGCCAGAGGCTCAATGCCATTCTCTGTAATATTACATTCCTCATTCTGCTTTTCAACTGCTTTCTCTGATTCACCTGACTCGTGCACAGTTGTTTGCGGATATGGGTCGGTGCAGATAGTCAATGTAGATGTAACCAACAAGTTCTGCAATAGGAAATGAAAAAAAGGAATAAGAATGCTTCTACGGAAAACACGTTATACATGACCGTCATAGATGCAGTATACACTAGGTGTCAATTAATTACGAGATGACATTTATCAAATCCAAATTCCATTCAGTCATGTTTAATTAAATGCTGTAAGAAAATCATTTTTGTTTATTTAAATTCCCTTCTAGATAATATCAATAGCTATATTGTGATGATCAATGTTTCCTAGCAAGACAATATTCTTCTCATTCTCCTAGCATGAGCGTGACTCATACTTGCAAATTTCACGGCAACACTCACTGGAAAGCTTATACCAGGCTTAGCGTGTTAAAGTAGGTAAGTTTACCTACTATCCTTCAATATCTTCCAACTCAACCAGTGCTCTTAATTGCTTGAACTTAGCCTTCATGGAAGTGTCAACTAGTTTACAACCCTGCATTCCTGTCTCCATGCAAGTCTAATGCGTATTCCAAACTCCTAGACTCCAATTTCTATTGCAACAGAAAACCTTTACCTTTCAACCATCATCTCTTTTGCGAAACTTGTGACAAACATGATTTACATATGCAGTGAAGAGAGCAAGATCACCACCAACAGAGAATTAGAGAATCAGGTTTTATCAGCCTGACCCCACGTACATCCAAGGAATTGACAATGAGGTGTGATCAAAATATTCCTACAACCTTTGACAACCTAAGTAAATTTATCAAACCAGGACCTGGGAGATTGTTTAAGGCCACAGAGGGACGTGTGAATCTTAGACACCATGTTAACATTACTTCCTAGACACACAAATCATCAATACATGTGGACCAGTGAAGCTAATTGTTCCTATTAAGTGAATGCCTGATAAAGAGAAGCTTTCCTGACCCCATGGTTGCTTGAAGTGACAATTTCACGGGGGAGTCATTTTTTTCTGCAATCATCACCATAGTTAGCCCACATTTTGTCATCAAGAGTGGTCCGACCTCTTGGGCTCCGACATCTTCAAGAATTTTTATAGTATAACTTCTCTGATTTGCCCAATAGAAACAGAGAGCATTGACAGCAAGTTCAGCCAATCAATCTCAAAAACCCACCAGAGGGATTACAAGATACAAGAAGGGAAATAAACGTTGATAATCAGCAAAAACCCTCCTAACTAAATCCATGATATGCCAAGATGGAGGGCCCCTCACAAGATTTCAATGCTTTTACTTCTCAGTGAACGGGTTACCTTTTTTGCCACATGTTGAAGTTTACATAATTAATCATCAACACTAAAGTAACTTGTAAAGGAATTAAAATTCAAGGGGGTATTTTCAAACAGAATGGAACTGAATTAGGTGCATCAAACTATAAAGCACCACGCATACGGCATACCTTCTCAAGGGCTAAGGCAAGCTTCGAGAGATTTGGGTAAATATTTTGTGCATCCAATAGGATCTGTGCAATATCAGACGAAACATCAATAAGAAAAACAAAAAATACATCTGAGAAATGATATACATGTAAAAACTAGGGAAAATTAAAACAAAGGACCTTAAATGAAAAAAATCTATTATAGAGGATCTTAAAAATTATTACTCCTCCGGTCCTAAATATAAGACCCTTATGCTAGTATTATTTATAAACGCCAATATCAAAATATAAATTTAAAAATACTAAAATATCCCTAAGTTAATTCCGTACATTTCCTCATACATTCAACTTTTTGAAAGGGAAAAAAAAAAAAAAAACACCAGCCCACCATCCCTATGATCATAATCTGTTTTTCATTTAAATTTTTTTCTGATGAACATTCAGGTCCATGTCATCAACATCTTTTATTCTTGTAAATATCAGATAACATCACATTTGAAATTTTAAACCTTAAATGATTAATTTTGCTTTTTTCTTTTTTCTTTTTTATGATGGCTGTGATAGAGAATTATGAATACTCGTAATGTTTATACTTGTGTAAAAATTATCTGTGATTTAATTATTATTCAGATTGAGTTGGAACAATTTTAATTTTTAATCTTTAATAATCTTTAATGCTTGTTCCTTTTTTTTTTCCAAAGATTTGAAGTCCGATGGTGACCACGATGATGGTGATAAGTTCATGACTTTAGAATAATTATTTTAAATTAGTCCTAAACTCTTTCTTTTACTCCTAGCAATATGGAGTTACAAATTCAAAAATCCTTAGTAAAAAGTATAATAGGCGTGTGACTTATGAAAAGAATAAATAAAATAACATGGATCCAAATTCAAACTGCTAGATCTTTTTGAAAATTATTATATCAATATAAAAAAACTATCAAATAGTAAACATGTTATAGTATTCAAAAGGTCCAATAATGTAATTGATTCTGGTAAAAAAATAATATAACTGATGCTCTATATAAAGACCCCACATCTAATTTGGTTCGATAGGGAAACGCTATGCATTAAAAAAATGACATAATTAAAGATTAATTTTTCTTTTATTATAGAAACCATTTTCGTTTTAATTTTAGTTGCTTTTTCAAATTTTGAATTAACAGAATTTAGGAGGTTTAGTTTGAGGCAATTTAGTACTTTTACATTCATATTGTGATATTTGGTCCTTTACATAATTACAATTTTTATGATAAATATCATTTTTCCTAGGTCCTTCATTCTAATTCTCCTTAAAAAACTAATCAAAAAGCATGCAATTTGATGGTCCACCAAGACTGAGAACATCTACCATACAAAATATACCAAAATTCAGTCCATGTGCACTCCCACTATTGTTTTACATATTCTTTTGATGCATGCCATAATTTTTATATTCTGTACGAGGAATAGATGTAGGACAAATGGGAACAGGCTACAACTTTTGAGTTGAATTGGATATTTACATGATAACACAATGATCAAAGGACAATCATCCCAACATAAGCTTCTGTTGATCAAATTCAATTTCGGAGAAGGTATTATGGTAGTAGGGACCATATTTGAAATCACCTCTATTCTACAAGCATACAAGGGTATAATGATACACTTGCCATAGCGACCTAAAAAGGGGACGTCTACCACCCACCAGATAAGAATCAATTTTAGTGTTGTCAATGGCATGTGGTGAAAGTTGACAACTAGCGGCCAAAACTGCAATGACACGAAAACAGATGGCATGGCAGCTGCCACGTGCATGCACAACACCTTAAGAAAAAATAAAAATTTTATATACACACAATGAAAAATGGAAAAAAGAACTACGAGATACTCACACTAAAGAAATTTTAACAAATGATGTCATCATTTAACTAGAAGCAGTACCATTGTCCATTATCCGACTAATACCCCCTTGCATGATCCAATAGTTATTCAATAGCAAACATTGTCTTACATTTCTATATTCCTGATAGAGTCCCATTGGATTGCCAAAAGTAATTCTTGCAACACTTATATGGCATGATTCTTTCCAATTACAAGTTGGCTTTAAGGGAGGGTTCACTAGGCTAGCTTAAGTCTCCATCAAAACCAAATGATGAAGACCTGAGCAAATATGGGAATACACTCATCTAAACTGCTTGTACAAGAACGTATAGGGAAGGAAGATTGTAAGGAAGTTGTTATGTTGCACTCGTGGAATTCAATCACGTAAATCTTCAATCCGTCTCCTAAGAAAGACAAACAATGGACTGATGGTGTCATAGCTACCTTAGGAGAGAGATCAAATGGGGACAAACATCACTTTTGTCGACTGTGACCCTCCACTTTTGTTTTGATTGTAAATTTAATAGCTTCAAAATTCATAAAACAAGAGGATAGAGTTCAAGGTTTCAAACTTGGTGCACCAATGTTGGGAAACTAAAGCTAAATTGTATTTCTCAACAAAAACTATTCATCAATGTTCAAATGTATGTAATGTCATTCTAGTACTGGCCAAATTATCCTAAATTTCTCAACAAAAATTGCCAGATTTTTATACCGATGCTCTAATAAAAGTTTTTTTTTTTTTGTTTATAACCAAGAAATAATATCAGAGGTTGGAGATGAGATAAAACCAAGGGATGCATATAATAACCTCAAAGACAAATTGAAGAATATAAGAAAAGGATAAAGCCAAAAAATCTTAATAATGCAACAAAGCTATCTCACTGCACATCATCAGGACCCCATTAAAGCAATCATATGGAGAATACCAGGTGAAACAGTAGACATGGCTTCCATTTCATAACATATGAAAGCTAAAAATCAAAACTAAAGCAAGACACATCAAGCTAGAAAAGGTGCATTAATCAACATTTGCTTCCAAGACAAAAAGAAACGATTACTAACACATGAATATTGCTGCCAGAACATAATAACACACAACACTTACTAGCACAACCGCAGCAATGTAAATGGAGGAGCATATATCAACGTTTACTTACAAGACACAGACAAACGATTACTAATAGACATGAATGTCACTGCCAGAACATAAAACCGCACGATACTAACCTCACACAACCTCTGCAATGTAAATGGAGGGCCTTCATAAAATGAAAGAAGAGCTGCAATTCAAAAATGCCTTCAGTAATTTTTATGGAAGAAGACGTGATAGGGAAATCTATCCAGCACATTAATATATTAAAATACATTCTTTCAAGGCAAAACAACAGATTTAGTATTCTTGATAAACACTTCAAAACAATAGTCCTGAAATACAAGAGTGTAGAAACATTTGAACCCTAGACTATTTGATAAAGAAAATCTAATTTCTTAAATAATAACAAATTTACATCCACATATATCACATAGATTGCACATGTAAGTATGGCAAGTGATTAATGTCTTCTCCTTAGCATTTTCACAAAACCCATAAGTTAGCATAAAATATGGTAAAATACCTTCATTCAATCTGTCCACTAGATCAGAGTAGGACTCTCCTAAAGAAGCATATTGCTGCTCACTTGTCAATTTTGCTTCAGGGTAGTCTGACAATACCTATATAGCAGTTATGAGGCAGAAAGTGTAAGGACAACCATGCAAGAAAAGTATAATGGTAAAATCCCATTTAACCTATGAATATAAATTATCAATGCCTCTGAGACTTAACAGAAAATATATAAGACCTACTTGCTAGCATACCTCCCCATACCTGCTTCAGCTGAATCGATAGCATGCTCTTCAACTTATCCCAGTCATGCCTGTTATTTGAAAGCAAAGCATGAAACAATGAAAAATGACTACATTAGCATTGCTATTATAGATCTGGATGAAATCTTACCGAATTATCATTATACAAGGCCAACTAAAGTAAACAAATAGTTTATCTATTGTTTCTTCATCATGAAATATTAGATTTATGAAACCGTGTGCCCATGCATTGACATAGTGTCATAGAAGCCATTAGGTCTGAAAATGAGGAAGGCCATAAAAGACTAGTAATATTGTCCATGGAACAGGAGTTTTATTGGATAAAATAAGAATTGCGAGTGGGAAGATTGAGACAGGGTCATAAAAAGCATGGGAAGGAGAAACAAAAGGGGGGGAAGGAAAGAGGAAAAGAGATACAAAATATAGGAGAATAACAGCGCTCCCCAAGTTCAAAGGGAAGCAAGAGATATGACCCTTTCTGTTAAGTCATTAAGATCGCCTTTGTTACTTGTTTTTAGCATCATAAATTATATCATTTCGCTCAGTAAGATTGCCTCATTAAAACCATTGATATATATAAAGACAGATTTTCCTTGAGCAAAGTTTGCTTAAAAATATTTTTTTAAAAAAAATTTCAGTCTCTGCTACAGTACGGTGCCTCAACAAACGAGAAGAAGGAAGGTTTTTTCAGCTATTTGCAATCATATATTCAGGAAAAATACACACATCTCAGTAGACACATTGCAGAAAAGCCGTAAAAGAAACTGGTAACACCATTCAACATACCAGAATCTCCCAGTGGATGCAATAACTTCTAATATGTGTTTAATTTCTTCCCTTGACATATGCTCTGATTCGGCACCTCTACAAAATCCAAGCATAATCATCAATCAGAAATGCGCATATTCTTTCACATTGTATTAATCATTATTGCACAAAAAATACTAACTATAAAAGAACTATTGTTTTATTAATATTACAGAAGGAAAAAAAAAATTCAACAGTTAAAATTGTTCAAGTAAAATGCAATTTCAATTTTTAACATGTCACAAGAGTTCATGCAAATCATGATTATCTTGAACATCCCACCAACGTATCAGTTAGTCAAATATGGTCAATAAAGTGGACTGTCATTTTATGATGCCTAACAGACTGTGAGCATAATTTACCCAAATTTTTAACGTCTCTTAGTTGAATCTACATCCCTAAAATCCATAAACCCCAAACCCAAATTCTGCATCTTTTATCACATAATTCGGAAAAATACAAAGTGCTAAAGCAAGGCACAACGCAGCCTTAGCAGCTTCCGTACCATAAGAGGCGCTGGCTTTGGTTTGGCACCAAAAGGCATGCCTTGTGCTCGGCATAAGGCAAGCATCTTCAGCACATCACTGATATTGCCAGTAGAAGGTTTTTTCTGAGGAACAGCACAGCTGTATTGGCTCGGTGATGCTGTTGTTGAGGTTGTATTAGGGTTAGGTGTTTAACTAAACAGAATAGGTAAGTTTCATATCTAAAATATTATATGAGAAGGGAAAATTTTCTAATAAAAATAGGAAAGTCTTAAATTTAAAATATCAGATAAGATAGAAAAGATTTCTAATAATAATAGGAAAGTCTTGAAGTTAATATATTAGTTTTAGACTTAAAATATTATAACAGTACATAGCTTTTAGGATTTCTTAATGTAAATAAATATGAGAAAACAAAGAACCCACAGAGGGACAACCAGTTGTGCCACGAACTTGAGTGGCTCATTTTATTGTTTAGTATTAGTATGATTGACGTGACTACAACATTTATCATTTACTATGACATTTTCAGAATATATCTATGTGTGGATGTATAAACGAAGGTTATTTCAATGTATATTTATCTGTAGTTTTTTTGTCTATATATCATATTTTTCTTCTTGCTGCAGCGCCTCACTTTACTAGGGTGAGCATCTTTCTAGCTACCTCATCGCAAAGAGCCTCCAAGTTCACCCTATTAAACTATCATATGCTTCCCCGCCTCTCACCTTCACAAGCAAATCTATTATAGAAGAGTTCTCCAATCCCTCTAGAAAGTACATTCTCTGAAAGAGACTTGTTCCCATTGAACCCCATGGTGAAGTGGAAGTAACGTATACCTGTGATTCAAGACACTAGCCACACTATCATTGTTCTGATGGTCATTATCATTGGAAGAAATGGTTACATGCTGCAAATTTTCATTTGACGTCTCCATCAATTGCCCTCCACCTACATAGAATGATAGATATATTAGTTATATGAAGTTCAGATTCAAGCAGAATAAATGCTTCCAGATACCCCAACTTAGATGATGATGATGATGATAGAAAACAATATGTTGTCAAAACAGACCCGCCAGCAAACCACTGCGGCCTCAGTGGGGCAGTGAGACCAAGCAACTGGGTTTGCCCAGTCCAAAGCATGCATCATCATGCAGGGATGAGGCGCGACCTTTTTGGGAAATGGAGTTATATCATCCAGTATTTTCAGCCAAACATATCTAGTAACTTTTATTGCACATGCTTAGCCAATGAAGATCCAATTAAATTACATGATCAATTATACATATATGAACTTAAATTACACAAGAAAACTCCATAAGGACCATCAATTTAACCCAAAATGTACTACTCGATTCTTCCATGAAGCGGGAATTCCATTAAAAAGGTGCGGTAAAGAATCAAAAGGTCCCAGAGGCAGAGCAAGTTGCTTCATTATGCATGGACTGATAGGAGGTAAGTATAACTGATTTATTGGTGAATGGTCCATGTGGTACAGTGTTTTCAAAATCTATGGGTGCATCCTCTCGCAAGCTAACAATTAAGAATTAATAAACTGTTTAAACCACTTGAAGATTTTGAGGAACACATTGGAAAGCAAAATATGGTTCACAAGTTCCTAATTATGGCTGCAATTAGGTCTCTAAAACACCTCCTCCCCTCCTTTGCTTCCTGCAAATCAAATTTCACTACCCCAAACAAAAGCAAAACTCTCCATCCAGCATCACCATAAATAAGAACACCTCTCCATGAAAACCCAAGGCCAAAACAGAGATGACAAAAACGAAGCCTTCCTTTCTCTTATAAATCCCCACTAACTTGGCCAACGTTCAGCGAACGAGAGGGACGAAGGAAATAATTTTCAGCTCAAAAAATGTAGACCAAAGAAGCCACCAAAAATTCCCAAAACATTTGAACCTTGAAATCGACTCACCTCAGCCGGTGAGAGGATCTAGCCGGCGGCTGGACGCGCGGTGGTGGCCAGTGGGTCGAGGCGTAAGGGCTCCAGAATCGATTATGTTCCTCCCTTCCTTGGGCTTTTGGAGAGCGGAGTGAATGGCGATCCGTTCTGGGAAAATAGGACCCGCTACTTTTCTTACACAAAGCGGAAAAAACATAGGGGAAAAAAGTTGCACGTTTTTAACTTCTACCTTGATACTTATTTGGTTTTATTTTGATAGTAAATATAAAAGGGAAAATTTCACTGTAGGACCGTAGAAGACAATTAATATCAAAGAGCGGGCCTCCAAAACTTTCTGAAACCTCACTGCCGGACCAAAGGATCAAATTGAAATTAAAATTTAGAGTGAGATTACAATAATACCCCTCCCTTTTTATTTTATTAAAAAATAAATATTTACCGGAGTTACTGTTCCGGCCACCAGCGCTCAGGTGGCCGCCGTCAAGGTCCGGTCACCGGTGGACAGAACAGTAGCTCCGGCAGGACCTCCGGTGGCCGGAGTTTTTTTTGTTTAAAACAAAGTGGCCAAGAGAGGGTTTGAACCCATGACCCCTTGGCACGCCAAAAAACTTGTAACCACCAAGCCAAGCAACCCATTCAATTATAAAATGCAAATAAAACTATATATAACAAAATAAACGCAACAGTCCAAATGTAAGTGAACAAGTGAAATTAGAGGATTTACAAGTAGAATTCAGCAATTTACAACAAAAATTAGACAATTTACAAATAACATAATAGAAGTCATAACCCAAAATGCAAGTATTTAAGTGCAAATGAGCAAGTAAAATTTGAAGATTTACAACAAAAGTTTATGGATTTACAACCCAAATTTGGTAAACACAAGAGAATTCACAACCCAAAATATAAGTGTTTAAGTGTAAGTGAACAAGTGAAATTAGACGATTTACAAGTGGAATTAATCAATTTGCAACAAAAATTAGGCAATTTACAAATAACATAATAGAAGTCATAACCCAAAATGCAAGTGTTTAACTGCAAATGAGCAAGTGAAATTTGAAGATTTACAATAAAATTTTATGGATTTACAATCCAAATTTGGTAAATATAAGAGAATTCACAACCCAAAATGCAAGTGTTTGAGTGTAAGTGAACAAGTGAAATTAGATGATTTACAAGTAGAATTCAGCAATTTACAACAAAAATTAGACAATTTACAAATAACATAATAGAAGTCATAACTCCAAATGCAAGTGTTTAAGTGCAAATGAGCAAGTAAAATTTGAAGATTTACAACAAAAGTTTATGGATTGACAACCCAAATTTGGCAAACATAAGAGAATTTACAACCCAAAATGTAAGTGTTTGAGTGTAAGTGAACAAGTGAAATTAGACGATTTACAAGTAGAATTCAGCAATTTACAACAAAAATTAGGCAATTTACAAATAACATAATAGAAGTCATAACCCCAAATGCAAGTGTTTAACTGCAAATGAGCAAGTGAAATTTGAACATTTATAACAAAAGTTTATGGATTTACAACCCAAATTTGATAAACACAAGAGAATTCATAATCCAAAATGTAAGTATTTGAGTGTAAGTGAACAAGTAAAATTAGACAATTTACAAGTGGAATTCAGCAATTTACAACAAAAATTAGGCAATTTACAAATAACATAATAGAAGTCATAACCCCAAATGCAAGTGTTTAAGTGCAAATGAGCAAGTGAAATTGTCGAATTTCACTTGTAAATCTATAAACTTTTGTTGTAAATCTTCAAATTTTATTTGCTCATTTACACTTAAACGCTTGTATTTGGGATTGTGAGTTCCATTATATTATTTGTAAATTGTCTAATTTTTGTTGTAAATTGCTGAATTCCACTTGTAAATCGTCTAATTTCACTTGTTCACTTACACTCAAACACTTACATTTTAGGTTGTGAATTCTTTTGTGTTTACCAAATTTGGGTTGTAAATCCATAAACTTTTATTGTAAATCTTTAAATTTCACTTGCTCATTTGCACTTAAACACTTGCATTTGGGGTTATGACTTCTATTATGTTATTTGTAAATTTCCTAATTTTTGTTGTAAATTGCTGAATTCTACTTGTAAATCATCTAATTTCACTTGTTCACTTACACTCAAATACTTGCATTTTGGGTTGTAAATTCTCTTATGTTTGTCAAATTTGGGTTGTCAATCCATGAACTTTTGTTGTAAATCTTCAAATTTTACTTGCTCATTTGCACTTAAATACTTACATTTTGAGTTATGACTTCTATTATGTTATTTGTAAATTGCCTAATTTTTGTTGCAAATTTCTGAATTCCACTTGCAAATCATCTAATTTCACTTGTTCACTTACATTTGGACTGTTGCGTTTATTTTGTTATATATAGTTTTATTTGCATTTTATGATTGAATGGGTTGCTTGGCTTGGTGGTTACAAGTCTTTTGGTGTGCCAAAGGGTCATGGGTTCAAACCCTCCCTTGGCCACTTTGTTTTAAACAAAAAAAACTCCAGCCACCAGAGGTCCTGCCGGAGTTACTGTTCCGGCCACCGGTGACCAGACCCCGACGACGGCCACCTAAGCGCCGGTGGCCGGAACAGTAACTCCGGTAAATATTTATTTTTTAATAAAATAAAAGGAGAGGGGTATTATTGTAATCTCACTCTAAAATGAGGGGCAGTGGCGTCATTTCGTTTGTGGAATTAATATCAGATTGGTCCCTTGGTTCTGCAGTGAGGTTTCAGAAAGTTTTGAGGGCTCTTTGATATTAATTGTCTTTTGCGGTCCTACAGTGAAATTTTCCCAATAAAATCACAATCTATTTTTTTATATTTATTTATTTATTTAAATTAGTTTTTGAAATAATAGTAAATCTAGTAACTATACTTAATTAATAAAGATATATTAAGAAAGGTAAAACGTATTTATTAAAAATAACTAATTTAACTAATTTTTTAATATACTTAAATTAGTCAATTAGTTCTTATATTAAGAACGGGAGGTAATAATCATGCGTTTCTTAATATAGAACCTAATTATTGAGTTGATTTTGATCCTAAATATAAGACCTATTTTTTATATTTATCAGTTTTTTCTAAATTACTCCTATTGATACTTCCTTAACCATAATCAAGCAAAAGAATGAGGGAGGATATTAAGAAAGATGGTTATAGTATTTTAGGAGAAACATATCATATTTCTTATAATTAACTAACTTACTTAACTTTTTAATCTAATCAAATTAATTAAAGAGGTCTTATGTTAAAAATCGGAAAAGTACTTCATAGGCGATCGATTCAAAAAAAAAATAATATTCTCAAAATTCTCTTATCTTTTTTAAAAATGTTTTTAATTAAATATAATATATTGGAGGAGTAACGTGTTTTCACTCAATCCTTTTAATATTTCATCATAATTATTTAATAATACATATGGCAAGGACTTCTGACCGAAAAACCAGGAAGGGTAATAGGAGTATAATTTATTATTCAATAATTTTTCAAAGCAACATACAAAAATAAAAAAATGAAAATTTTTAAAAGATAATAATAAATAAGAATGAAAATAGCATATGCTACTTATTAACGAAGTCTTGTTCAACATAAGGCTATGCATTTCTTTTTCTTGTGAACAGCTACGGATTTTTCTTTTTCTCTTTTTTTGCCATCAAAGAAAAGGAATGTCGTTAAGAAGACAAATACAGGCAATATGCCAAAATTTCAGCACAAGAAGCTACTGCGAAAGTAAAATGAGTTACTAAAAACTAAGTATATATCCAAAACTCAACCCAAATATAAAGTATTACCTCCGATTCTAATTATAAGAACTAGTTGACTAATTTAAAGAGATGAGGGAAAGAAGTTAAATTAGTTATTTGTAATAAATAGGTGTTGTCTTTTCTTAAATATTTTTACTAATCAAGTGTATTGGCTAGAACTACTATTGTTAGAAGAACTATCTTGGAAAAAAATACATAAATATTAGAGACAAAATGGATTGGGGTTTTATATTTAAGACCAAAATAAAAGTCAAATGAGATTTTATATTAAAGACCGGAGGTAATACAAAGTAGTAATAAGTATCTAACCTAACTTCAACATTTGGTTAAAAAAAAAAAACCGAAATTTAACACAATCCACTAGATAATAGATGTGGCGATTGTTGTAGAGGTTCTTACACTCAATCAAAAGGACATGACCATTTTAAAGAAACCTTAACAACCCAGTTGGTAACCAAGTTTAAAGATGCCTTAGTAACTCACTAAGTCACCAAGTTTGCTTCCCTAGAAATCCACATGTAACAATGGCTTTTGATAAGTTTTTTGATGACAAGCATGTCTTCTAGTAAACCATCCCATCTCCAGTTAGAAGATGCATTGTTTTTATTTAAACAATTTGCCAGAGTAAGATTATTAGTTTCAAAAGTAACCTCATCTAGTTGGTTCATATGGTGAAAAGCACTCCACATTCATCCGTGAAAGTTGAGTTGGCTTTGATAATTTCCCTATGCCCATCTAGAAGCCATCCATTCTTACCACAAAACATATAGCTGCTAAATCGTCATTCTTCAAGAAAGAAAGCGCAGTCAAAAGTAATTTTCAAAGCATTCCTTTTTAGTAGGCTCTATTCTACTTTAAAACCGTATTTGGTATGAAGGATTTGGAGTGAATAAAAATGAGGAATTTTGATCATTTCTTCTTATTTGGTAACATAAAAATTTTAGAAGAGGATGAAAAATCTTTTAAAATTCTTCTTCCCCTCTCTCCTCTCCTAAGTTGGGAGCATTTAGAGGGAAAGGATAATATTTTACCATGTTATGATTATTATGCTTATATTTATTTTCAACGTTCCCATGCTATCCTAAATCTTTTTCTTCTTATCTCTTGATGCTGCTCTCTCCTTTCTCACCCTCACACAAAACTTGTTGTCACATTGCATCCACCACCCTGCAGCTCGCCATCGTTATCACCCGTGCATTTCTCGTACGCTTTTGCGAAGCTTGTCCAATCATGGCAAGTGTAGAGATAGGGAGTTTTTTCGGTTTTGCCTTGTCTTTGAACTTGAACAAGTTTCGATTTCTGTAATGAAGGCTTTCCCATGCGAAAAGTTCTCGCAAAGAAGAA